CCAAGCTGCCAGAAAAGAACGTATTCTCCCCTTAGCCCTATTCTAATTTTTATGTGAGTGAATCTAAACTGCTGAGGAAGACCATATGTGATTGTTAAATTATATATATATATATATTTTTACTCCGCACAATGCTTATTCTTCTACATCCATAGATGCTTGAGAAGCTGTGTTTTTGTCATTCATGTACATTTTCCTTTGGAAAAAGAAAGCGCCTATTTTACTAACCAAAGACTTGATTTTTACCCTCCTCGTTTGTATTCCCTCCTAGAAATAAGCCCAGTTGGATTCATGTCAACGTTTTAAGAGATTTTTTTTTTTTTAGGTTTTTCTTTGTCTTTCAGAGACCAGAATTACAAATCAAAACTATTTAGGGTGATAAGCTGCGATCTTTGAGCTAGCTATAAATAAGACATTTCAAACAAACAACTTCAATTTGGAGTAGAGAATACAAAGGCGTGAGACATCAGGTTGTCATTTTTTATCGTAAGATTCTGCTCCTAAAAAAAATAAATGGGGGATTACGGGTTTGGAGTGCTAGTGCAAAGCAATACTGGGAATAAATCTGCTTTTCCAGTCCGGTTCCATCCACATCTGCAGCCTCCGCACCATCACCAAAATGCCACCCCCAGCCCTGCCGCTTTCATAAATAATAACACAGCTGCCAACGGCAGCAGTGCCGGGTCAGCTTGGCTCTTTCCTGCTCCGGCCACCCACAACATTCAGGATGAGATCCTGGGGTCAGAAAAAGCAAAAAGTCAGCAACAGGAACAGCAAGACCCTTTGGAAAAGCAGCAGCTGTCCCCGAGTCCCGGGCAGGAAGCCGGAATCCTGCCTGAAACTGAGAAGGCAAAATCCGAAGAAAATCAAGGGGACAACTCTTCAGAAAACGGCAGTGGGAAGGAGAAAATCAGAATCGAATCGCCAGTGTTGACGGGGTTTGATTATCAAGAAGCCGCGGGGCTAGGTACTTCCACTCAACCCTTGACATCCAGTGCATCGTCTCTTACTGGTTTCAGTAACTGGTCAGCGGCCATCGCGCCTTCTTCGTCTACAATCATCAACGAAGATGCCAGTTTCTTTCACCAGGGAGGGGTCCCGGCTGCTTCGGCTAATAACGGTGCTCTGTTGTTTCAAAATTTTCCCCATCATGTCAGCCCTGGCTTCGGAGGCAGCTTCTCCCCGCAGATCGGGCCTCTGTCACAGCACCACCCTCATCACCCTCATTTCCAGCATCCTCACAGCCAGCATCAGCAGCAAAGGAGGTCTCCTGCCAGTCCCCACCCCCCACCTTTCACACATAGAAATGCTGCTTTTAACCAGCTGCCTCATTTGGCGAATAATCTTAACAAACCCCCCTCTCCGTGGAGCAGCTACCAGAGTCCCTCTCCTACTCCCTCTTCTTCCTGGAGCCCGGGAGGTGGCGGATATGGTGGCTGGGGAGGTTCCCAAGGCCGTGATCACCGCAGAGGGCTGAATGGAGGAATAACACCCCTGAACTCCATCTCGCCTTTGAAGAAAAATTTTGCAAGCAATCATATTCAGCTCCAGAAGTACGCTCGCCCCAGCTCTGCCTTTGCTCCTAAGTCCTGGATGGAAGACAGCTTGAACAGGGCTGACAACATTTTTCCTTTTCCGGTAAGATTGTGTTCCACTGATAGATTATGATGAATAAGGAAAGAAGGCATGGTGTAATAGCTATTTAACTGAGAGAGTTCGAATTGTCTGTGTCCATATCAGAGCTCTCAGAATCTGAGTTACTCACCAGACATCATTTGGGCAGGAGAGGAATGGAATTTGAAATAAAATATTCAGCTGTTTCTTGGGCAAATTTCTAATTGTACTCTTCCCATAGGTAATTGTATAAATTGGCATAATTATGACTACCAGGTAGCTAGTGATGTCATAATTATTAACTGTAATACCTTTCTAGCCTGACGAGAGAATCAGGGTTGGTTTTCCCCTACTTATTTAGGTGAGAATAAATAATATATAGATAGAAATATCTTTTATTGTGGAAACTGATGGGCATTTTCTGCCCTTATGCAGTACTATAGAACCCAAAACATTTATTTTTCCCCACCATAAGGTAGTGAGTCACTAAAAACCAACTCCTGGATTACAGTTTTCTCGCTGGTTACATTTTAAACCTCAGAGTCCAAACAGTCTGAATTCACCAATTTCCTCTTAAACTTCTGCAAATTCTGGCCCGCTTGGTGTCAGTCACGACTGCTAGAGAAATGATCTGAATGTTTTCTTCATCCCCATTTATTTCTGAATACTGCGAAATTGGAGATCTCAGAGTGACTCTTTTATGATGCCTTTCTCCCGTTCGTTTATTTTCCAGTGTTAACACTAGGGGTGTAGAGAATTAAACCATGCCTAAAAATAGTTTCAAGCAAGATCACTTGTCTGTCTCGCCACCAGTGTATTCTTATTTTGCAGGAGTCACATTGTTCGATGTTTTCGAAATCATCAGCTGACAGTCTAGTTAATAGATACAAACTAAAGGGAAATTTCAGATGCCCCACTAAATTTGTATACTTTTGGGGTATGATTATTTATATGTGTTTAGGAAATTTATATGGATTAATAAGCTAATACTGCATCAGCCCTCACAACAACCCTACAGGGTAAGTTATAGTATTATCCCATTTTACAGGTGAGAAAATTCAGTATCAGAAGGATTAGTAACTTGCTCGAGAGCACACGGCTGATAAGAATACAGACTCTAGGTTAAAAGAACAAGGGTTAAAAATTATATCTGTATATATACATGTGTATACATACAAGTGTGCTTTAACTAGAGGGTTATTTTAGGGATCTTTCTGCAAGCGCTAAAACAGATTACAAAATAGTCGTAATGTCCCCAAATATGACGTCAGCAAAGCAGAATCATCTGTTTTAATTAATGGTTTGCTTAGTGGTAGGGGAAGTTTGCTAAGAAAATACTGTGTCATTCCAAGGAATTAAATATCCCTCCTCCAAGGATTCAGGGGTCATGGTTAGGATGTATCTTAAAATATTTAGTTAAATTTGGTTTTGGTTTTTTAAAAAATAATTTTTTTTGCTGAAATACCAAAAAGCTGTTGGCTTCTGTTTTTAAAAAGGGATTTTACTCAAATTGAAGAGAGCAATTATTGTGTTTTAGTGGTCAGGTAGAAGGCCATTTGAAACATTTTCAATCCCATGAAAGCTATTTTTAAAAAGTTGTTTCTGATATTCCTTTGAGCATAAATGTAAGGGAAATTTAATGCAAAGGTAACTTTTATTAATTATTTATATATTGCCAATTTAAAAAAAATCTAAAATGGCATTTTATACATTTTAACTGGATTAAAATTGACTCAGAATTGACTACACTAGTCCCTTTTTTTACAATTTTATTTATTTCTAAAATAATTTTTATATTTTTATTTTTTTCAATTATAGTTCACTACACTATTCTTTTTTATTTTGCTACTATATACTGACAGAGTGAACTTATGTGACTTCATGGTTTATTTTCCATTCTCAGTTTATTGACTTTTGATAAAGTTTTGCTTTGGGAAAAATAAAAGCTTCAGAAAATGAATAAACTAACATGTATGCACATGATTAATATTTTATGGAGCTAATGGAATGTGTTTAACCTGCGCTATCTTTTCGTTCAAATGGTTTCTTTAGAGAGTAAGCTGGTTTATGAAGTAATAATAAAATAGGCTAAAATTGATACTGAGACATACTATTAGAAACTAAGTCTTCCCTTAGAATTGTTGTCTTGTTTTGCTGAGGATGGGAAAAAGGATGAGTCAGTGTACCTGGCTTAAATATGGTAGGATTAGAAAATAAGTTACTGATTTCTGCTCACTGTCCCCACCATTTTTTAGAAGAGAGAGAGAGAGAGAAAGAGAGGGGGGAGGGAGAGATAGAGAGCACGAGAGAGCATGCGCCAGCTTGCATGTGCAGCAGCAAGCACGCACACGCACACACACACACGCATGTGTGCAGGCACTAGCATTGGGGTGGTTTGGAACTCACAATAAAAATAAGTGATTTGAAAAATATCTTTATGACCAGAAATTCCTACTTTGGTTTTGAAAATATAAGAAGTTAGTTAACTGACTGCTATGTTGCTTACTTACATGAATGCAGTTCTCTGTGGATGTTAATTTTTGAATTAATTTTTTGGCACAAAAAAGAGTTTCTAGTTGATATTTAAATTTGATATGAAAAAACTCGAAGGAACAGTGACTTGACTGGGAGCCAGGAGACAATGTGGGCTTGGCCTTATCAGTGTCACAGCATTGAGGGGACTTAGGTCATTCCTAAGTTCCTTTTGATCCTAAAGCAAGCTACTATGAAATTCAAACTACGGCTGTCAAAATCCACTCTTAAAAAAAAAACTGCTATTTTATGTAAATGTATTAATTAAATGTATTCATTTTAGGAAAGAAATTTTATAGATATTAGTAATTCAATTTCAATTGCTATTAGAAAAAATTCCTTAGGTATAAGAGAGATCTTGAAATTTACCACAGAAATTATAGGATAGAGCTTACGCAGCTACATTATAATATTGATATCCAGTCAAAGGCCAGCATGGTGTTCTATTAAAAAGAAATAATTTACCTGAAGTGTAACTAATACTGAGCAATGTCTATTTTAATTCGAAATGAATCAGAGTGGTTTTTCCCTTTGTTTAATGCAGGTTTGGGTACATAGAGTGAATTAAAATTAATGATAACACTTTTAACTAGTTATTTTGGTCAATCTTAACCTCTTATCAATATTTCCAGAGCAAGAGCAAAGTTTCCAGATATGTGAACAATCCTCTAAATAACTGATATGACAGGGTATTATATTTTGGGATTTTTTTTTTTGTATTAAAATTTGTTTCTAAGTTATTTTTGGTTAGCTTAAAGTTTTCATTATGTGAATTCAGATGACATGCCTCAAATTTAGTTTTCAGATAAAACTAATATATATTCAATAATAACTGACATACGTACGATATTCTAAGCATTTTACATGTATTTACTCATTTAATTCATTCAACAATCATATGAGGTAGAAACTGTTATTACTATTCACACACAAGATTTGGTTCTTAACCATTATATGGCAGCGCCTCTTCACAAAGACATAATACAGGTGGGATCGGGGAGAGTGCCTCCCAGAGGCATGGAAGATGAGAGGAAATATTTTACGGTGAATAACTGATACACAATGATCAAAAGCTGATGATAGATAACGTTTGAAAGTGGAAAATAATAGAATATATTTATTTATTAACTTTTTAATGTTAAACTGAGATAGTATGCAGATCAGTATTTTTTTTCTGTGTTTTTAGTACATACCAGGCCCTGAGCTAGTGCCTTCATGCAAGTGTTATCCCACTTCCTATGTAGGATTTCACAGCCCTCTGAGGTTTGGTTTTATTGTCCCAATTTCAAAATGAAGAAACAAGGTCCACATTCACGTGACTAAAGGCACGATTTGACCTTTACGTTAAGGGGGGAAAAAATCCTTCTCGTCCTGTCGAGCACATCCTGGAATTCTGATGTCCAAACCAAATAACATATTGGGGCACCTGCCAATAATTACGTTTGAATATAACGCTTTTTTGGAGGGGTGCCTAGATCTTCTGTATTTATAGCAAAGTGAAGGGGAATTGTGGAGTGTATATTCTGATTCTCTCTTATCTTCAACTCAGTTGGGCTCCCACCTCCATTATTTAAGAACCAGGAAGTTGACAGGAAAAAAAGGGGACAAATCTGTCACAAAGACAATACTAAAATTTGATTAATAGGGAGACATTTTAGGACTTAGAGATCATGTGCTCTTTAGACGCAGTCACCATGGATTTAAGTTGTCTTAACCAGCCAAATAATTCATGTCACTTTAAAGCTCTTCTTGCGTTGTCAGTTTATTGATCCTTAAATTATATATATCATATTTGAAAACAAAGTTTACTGCATTGCTTCAGTTCTGAAAGTCACGGTGAATTATTAAATTGTCTAAAGTGCAATCTCATTTCATTTTTTTTTTGTTTTTTAATATAGTCCCAAGAGGGATCTTTGCATAGGAAGCTTGTCTCTGACTTTGTATTTATTTATATTAGAAGAGGGGAGACTAATTTTTTTAACTGTAAAGTAGGTTGGGTGGCTCTGGCTCCAGCAGAATTGAGATACTGGAGAAACTTTGGGAAAAGACTATGAGATGCAATTTTATACCTTTTAGTTGAAAGACTTTTAACTAGATTTAATTGTTTTTCTGATGGAATAGAATTTGGGCAGGATAGAGTTTTTTGATGATTTTTTGTCATTGTCTTCAGAGAAGCCATCAAATATCCAGCATCTCTTAGGGAAACCGTGTTTATTGCATGTCTAGTGAATGCAGTCTTTGCTAGTTGCAACTAGAAAAAAGCTCCTCGCTTAGTGTATGAGTTTATGCTTTTGAGAATAATCTTTTTGCTGTTCACGAAAAAGAAATGGAAAAGTAGTCTTAAAGTTCACATGTGCCTAGTTTGACTCTTAGAGTCTAAACTGATTTTTCTTATGACTTTTCTCTATCTCGCTATAAGGAAAATAAGCTTGAAGATTCATTATCATATTTTTTTCAGCACTCTATTGTGCCTCAGTTTTCAGCCCTGTAGC